GCTTCGCGATGCCACTGCATCGATGCACAAAGGCTACTGAAATCCGCATGTTAAGTCTAGCATCTGGCAACTCATCACAAATGCCTGTTCCCAGAAAGCCCAATCGAAGGGCTACATACAGAGTTTGATGGGAGTCTGTATAAAGGTTTCCATAAGAACTTGAAACAGGGCTACTAGGGGCTTCCGGGTTTTGTGGGTTTTGGGGGTGGCTTCTTGTCTTTCTAGGACTGACACAGCCCAAATCCCATGCTCTGTATATTCATGCCACCATGGCGCTCCATGCCTAAACCCTAAACCCCCCTCTGGAAAGGTAAGCAGAAATACGCGTATCTTCTAGAGATCCTTGCCAAAGAGCCCGGAATTACTCAACAAAGCAACACCTAACCGTAATCCTCAAAGCTATGCCCTATAAGCCCTAAGCCCTAAACCCCAACCGCCAGATCTGTCGCAGCTTGGCGGGAAACGTCGCGGCTGGGCAGCAACACCAACTGCCTTTTGGCTTTACGGGTTTAGTTTACGGCTTAGGGGATAGGGCTTTCAGCCAAGCTTTAGGATTTCGGGTTGGGGTTCAGGGTTTAGGGTGTAGGGTTTAGGGCTTACGGTTTAGCCGTAAGACTGACGCATTGATGGGTAGAATAGGTGGATGTTCAACGAGCCAAAGCCATGCCCGACGAGCCGAGTACTTTGAGGTCGTGCCCGAACGTGTCCATCAACAGTACAAACCCTTTTTAAACCCTAAAACAAGTTCTAGGCCTACCAAGCCCTAAACTCTAAAACCTAGTTACTAAGTTCACTGACCCTTCCAGCTTCAGCCGAAAATCTACGTCGACCGATGCTTTCCTTGGAGGGCCGGGGCACTTAGGAAGCATACCTCTTTAAGTATGACAACCCCAACTAAGTCCCGCTTAGGGTACTTACAACTCTACTTACTACCTACTTACTAAGTCCTCCAACCCTCGCAGCCCCTACCTTCTAAAACCCTAAGGCCTCATAGCCAAACCCTTGGACCACCCATCTTGGACCCCTACACCCCACTCTAAACCCTAAACCATAACCCTAAACCCTAAACCCTAAACCCTAAACCCTAAACCCTAAACCCTAAACCCTAAACCCCAAACCCTAAACCCTAAACCCTAAACCCTAAACCCTAAACCCTAAACCCTGCACTGCTTTTCATTCGCTCCCTTCGCTGCCCATGGCAGCGATCAGGTCCCGCATTGTCACTGCGAAGGAGATGAGGCCCCCGATCGTCTGGCAGAAGATGCAACACTGGGTGTCGGAGATTCCCAGGGCCCGAAACGCAAGGGTTTAGGGTTTAGGGTTTAAAATTTAGGGTGTAGGGTTTAGGGTTTAGGGTTTAGGGTGTGTTACGTTCTGGGTTGCTCGCTGGGCTCCTGAC